ACGCACACACACACACACACACACACACACACACACACACACCAAAGAGCTATTTACTCATTGTATGGAAATATAAATAATATGAAATATAACTGCAAACATATCTGCAGACGGGAAAGAGCCATTTACGTAAAACTCGTCGAACTAAAAAAAAATATGACCAAGAACCCGTGTAACGGTGTGCTGATACTAAGGGTTAATTAGATGTAAAACTTGGGAAAAAATGACAAAGAATATAATCAGTTGCTTCCACAAACCTGTGCAGGTGGCGAGGGGCTAATTAAATGTAAAACTCATTCGGCTTGGAAAAAAAAAGAAAGAAGAAGAATATAACCAGTATAACTGCAATAACTGCTCAGATGGCAAAGAGATAATTAAATGAAAAAACTTATCGACTTGACAAAAAATGTGAAAAAGATTCTGACCACTAGCTTCCACAAACATGTGCATATGGCAAACTTAACTTACTACCCGTTACGCCATCTGGCGTTTAGGGCAGCAACAAAGGATCTCCAGCTCTGTCTGTTTTGGGCCACCTTGGTCAACGTCCCCCACGAATAAACAGCTTCCTTGCGGCTTTCACTGCCAGCATTCATACGAGTCCCAAGGGACTCTGAAGGTCCATTACTCACAGAAATAGGGTTTCTCTTTGTTGCTGTTTCCGTAACATATGATTTTTACCAGTCTGGGGTGTTAACCCTGAGCTGAACCTCCGAAACCTGGAGGGCCGGTGGGTCACACTTCGTCTGACCCCAGGAGGTTATACAGTAACTTGGTAAGGTCCTTGGTCTCACCTCTACCTGACCTCTACCCGTCCACCTGTCTGGCATGGGTGGCCCTACCAGGAGCATTAGCTCCAACCAGAGTAGCTCTTGGGGTCATTGAGGCACACAAGCTCTGTAACCACAACAAGGTAGTGATCCACTAGAGTGGCGTATGGCACGGGTCTAATTATATGGAAAACTCATCGATTTGGGAAAAAAAAAGCCAAAAATAATATGTCCAATAACTTCCACTAACTTGTGCAGATGGCAAGGATCTTTTGAGTTGTAAAACTTGTAAAACTGGAAAAAAAAGTTAAAAAGAATCTAACCTCTAACTTCCACAAGCCTGTGTGCATTAATTGTAAAAGTCGTCGATCTGAAAAGAAAAATGTTCACAAGAACGTAACCACTAACTTCCACAAACCTGTGTGCAGATGGCAACGATCTATTTAGTTGTAAAACTCGTCGAACTGAAAAAATAATTGTTAAAAAGTATCTAACCCCTAACTTTTCCACAATTAACATGTGTGCAGATGGCAAGGATCTATTTAGAGTTGTAAAACTCGTTGAACTGAAAAAAAATATATGAAAAAGAATCTTCTAACCACTAACTTCCACAATCGTGTGTGCAGATGGCAAGGACCTGTCGGACGGGGAGCTGGACACCCTGACCCACTCGCTGACCCGCGCCCAGGCCGAGGCGGTGAGGAAGCGCATCAACGTGCTCAGCACCACCATGCGCCGCAAGAACCGGGTCCACAAGGTGCACGTCAAAGACATCTTCCCCACGCAGCTCCACGGACACCAGCACCACAACCAGCACCACCACAGCGGAGGAGGAGGTGATGGTGGTGGTGGTGGTGGGGGTGGCAGCGACGCCTCTGGACTGATGATCCGCGACGCCCCCTCCTCCCCCTCCCCCGTCCACCGTCAGAGCAGTGTGGGGAGTGGCGGGAAGTCGGGGTCGGAGCCCTGGTCGTCGGGGCTGTCTCAGAACAAGGGCGGCTACTCCATGTCCGGGGGCAGTAGTGAGATCACGGAGGATGTGGAGGCTGGTAGGTGGTTGTGTGGGGTTGTG